TTGGGCCCGGGAAAAAGCATCATATTAGCCAACATCATATTATCGAGGGATCATTATATCGAGAGTTACTGTGTATTATTGTGGGATGCTATGAACTGATCTAGCATTTTCTCCACTTCCGTTGGAAGGATTACTTCCTTGAGCTCATGCTTTGTGAGAGTTTCCTGGACATCCTGTGGAAGCCTCTCTGCAATCTTGTTGCCACGGTTTGTAAGATCCAATATTCCTGAGCCCATTGGAGAATCTGTGGCAATTTCTTTGGGTTTAAGGTTATTGAGGAGTTTTCTGACCTCTTCATATACCCGCTTATCAGCCTCTGAGCAGTCATCATCAGTTAATGCATACTCCTAAAATTTTCAAGTAAATATTAGTTATGAAGAGTCAATCGTAATCAATAAACTTAAAAATTACTACTCACACATAAGGCTATTAATATATCAATGTTCTCTTGAATTAGCTCCTTGTTGGCTTTTCGTTCATTTTTCCGATACTGAAGTAAAAGTCAGTTATGCATGGTAGGTAGATATTTCTTGCAATAAATAGAATGCTCACCTCTCTTTTGATTTTCCTGAAGACATCAGGATAAATCTTTGTAATAATGAGTGCCTGACAATATTATAAACATTAGTGATTAGTATTAGACTTAACCGTAAAATTTTTAGTCGGGAATTCTATCACCATTTGCTTCTATTACTAGTTCACATCTATTTTTTATAGATCGTACTAAATTAATTACTGTTTTATTAGGAATTGCTTCCCATTCCTCAGCCAAAAATTGCTTCAATTGCTCAATATTTTGCAGCATTTGTCGTTCGACTTTATCCTTAATTATTTGCCACAAGTTTTCAATAGGATTAAGGTCGGGACTATTTGCCGGCCAGTCAATTGCCTTAATCCTATTTTCGGCAATAAATTTTTTTGCTACTTTGGACGTGTGCTTCGGGTCACTGTCCTGTTACAAACGCCAGTTATTACCGTACATGTTCCGTGCAGCGGGTAAAAGCTGGGTTTGCAGGATGTTGACATAAAATGGCCCGTCCATTATTTCGGTAAAGCAAAATAATGGTGTTTTTCCCCTAAGCGAGATTCCACCCCATGCCATAACCTTCTGACGTGTTTTGGGTAGCCGCTGTAAGAGTTTTACTCCATTTTTATGCCACCGACGGACTTTGTTTCGGAAAAGGTCAAACGCAGTCTCATCAGTGAAGATGGTACGGCTCCAGTTGTCTTGCATATGAGCTTCTGCCCACCTTTTCCACATGTCGATCTGTGAGCATCGGCGTTCCACAAGGTACGGACCTTTTTTTCTTAAATTTCGCCAAATTGTTTGATGCGATATTGATGTTCCTTTATTGTTTTGCACTTTTACAGCAAGTTGTCGTGTTGAAATAATATTGTTGTTACGTATTAATAATCACATTGCAAATTACATTACGATGGCTGACTACCTTTTCGAAAATCGTGGTAAACCCAGCAAACTCACATTCAAGAAGTGGCTGGGGCATACGTGGAGGACAACGCCATATCAGAAGATGGCGCGCTCGTCACCATCAGTGGTAATCAACCAATACGAGAATGACCTGGGAAAGGCCATTAAATTATGCAAACGAAAGAATGCGGGGAGAACGAATCTGGAGAACGTTTTTTCCGAGTTTGCTCTCGTAGACCGGGTAAGCATTATAATTTGATTGATGCATATTGTTAAGATTAAATGATGATAGCATACATGGTAGTGGAGGTATCAGAGAGGATTATGATATGTACATATCTAAATAAATAACTGAAACCAGTAGTGCACGTAAATGAGTTCGGTCTCCGGCGTTTTTTTCGTTACACAGTGTAGGACATCTGAATGTCAGCAAAGACAGCAAAGATCTTATTTGGGAATAATAATAACATTACATTTCATTGACGGAACGTGGAAGCTGCATTTAATTTTAATATTATGCCCTTTGAAGATACAGTCGATTCGCAATGTTGTTACGACCACATGCAGTTAGATCACTCTTAAAAAAGTTCGAATTGGGAATCGTCCATCTGATGAGGATGAGAGTTCTTTAAAAATATGTTTCAGACTGTTATGGATTGTCCTCTAACAGTCCTGATTTAAACCCATTGCCAAGGGAAGAGTGGAGAATTAATTTAGATGGGTCAATTAAGCAGCGTTGTCAGCTTACCAATGATGATAATAGAGAACGAATACCTAATTAATTTATTATGAATAAAAATATCTAGTCTTCAGCTTTCAAACGAGTATTTAATGATGTGATATAATGCGCTAAATATCTGTCATTTTAACCTCTTTCATCCACGTGGATCGACATACATGGTAAAAACGTATTAGGAAAAAAATTTTTTGTCCGAAAAAGTTGTATTCCCCAACGAAATGGCCAGGCGGAAGGTATGCACTAGATATAACAAAAATTTATCTTTTAGCAATTTAATTCTAATCCTTTCCGTTCCTAAATGTTAGAAAAAGAGACGTACTCATGTTCGTCCTAGTGAGACGCCCCTCCCGAATGCTCCGATAATACCGCATTCCTTTGTCATAAAGTCAGGAAAAGTTGGTAAATCGGTATCTGGCCTTGTGAGGGATATTCGCCGTGTTATGGAACCTAACACTGCGACCAAATTACGGGTATGTACAAGTAAAGGAACATGTTATATTCTTTGACCCGCGAAAGTCTGACCAATCGAAAGATTCTTAATCATCGCAATATTGCATTATACCGCCTAGGAACGCAAACGCAACAAATTGAAAGACTTTGTCGCCATGACCGGTCCCTTGGGCGTTACCCATATTTTAATCTTTACTCAAACAGAGACTGGTACTAATCTTCGGATTGCTCGATGTCAACGGGGGCCTACACTTTGTTTTCGAGTGACAAAGTATGCCTTGATTTCCGATGTGCTCCACGAACAGAAACACGCAAAGAGCCCTGGAACAGAATATTTGACTTCTCCATTGGTTAGTTAGACAAAGAAAAAACCAATCTAATGGAGTGAATGGAATATTCATCACTTTTGTTTTATTGTAGCTAGTATTAAATGGATTCGACGGAGAAGACAAGCAAATGAAGTTGATGACAACCATGTTTCAGAATATGTTTCCACCTATAAATGTCAAAACGGTAAATATACTTTTGCTTTTTTGTGTTCTGTATGCATTTCCAATTAACTTTGCTTCTTTTGAAACACAGATGAATCTCTCTGAAGCAAGACGAGTTGTGTTATTAAACTACAACAGTGATACGAATTTAATCGATTTTCGACATTACAGCATTGGAGTGAAACCAATTGGTGTCAGTAAGAAACTGAAGAAAATAACTGCAAATGAGGTGCCTGATCTTCACGAGTACAACGATATTAGTGAATATATTCTACGGTAAGGTTCCGAGATGCATAGAGATGATTTCGAGCTGCATTCAGCGCGTTTATTTTCAATATTATTATTTTGAAGTAAAGGAATGTCTGAAAGCGAAGCGGAAAGTGAAGCAGAAACAAGTGCAGTAACTCTCTCTCAGAATTACCTTGGCCGCAGCAACCCCAAATCCTCCCAGAGAGCAATAAAGCTGACTGAAATTGGACCACGTATGGAATTACGGTTAGTCAAAATACAGGCTGAAATGTGTGACGGTGAAATTCTATTTCACCACCAGGGTATGTCATAAGCGTATTTGAGATTTCATTTTTATATGCGCTTAATAAAATCTTTTCATGGGCTGCGCATTGTTTGTTCTATTGAACATTCGTGATAGATTGTATCCGAAGGAGAAATACCAGTTTTCCAGTAACATGACTAATCGACATGATTATGGGCAAACTTGCGTATTAAAGATTGTATTGTATAATTACTGTGCCAAGTCACGTAATATAATGACATCAAAGTCAGCAGCGATTGCATCTTCGACAAGTGGGGGATGCGGCAAAAATGAAGGGTCTGTCAAGTTGAAAAACGTGGTATTGTGCTGTAGTATTTATTTCGTCTCAGGCATTGATGAATTTGTACATGATTGTTTCCATGATTGAACGTCTTCAATATTTCTGTTTTCAACGTAGTCAAGTAATCCATTAAAAATCGTGCAACTTCGTCTTTATTTCCTTGCGTATATGATCACGGAAACGAATGTTCAGTCACCCTGGATATATTACAATTTCTCCAAATAATAATATTCAAATAAATGTTATTTTACACGCCAAAGATGCCTTTTCAGAATCAGTCCTTCAAGCGGTATTATAGTCAAACCCTTGACCTTATTACGAATTTATCAAACAGCATTCCATCAAGACTATATGCTGAGCATACGATCTTCTTTGGCCACAACTCCATAAGTACATAATGATGTTTCTTATCCCCAGCGACGTATAATTCGTAGTTCTCCACTCTATCATAATCCAAACTACCTCCAGCGCCACCTATGATGGCATAAGTAACACCGTCTCTGTCACCCCTCTGGTAATTGTGCTGATGACCGCTAATGACCAAATCAACTTTATACTTTCTAAACAACGGAACGAATCGTGTTCTCACAAACTCGCCCCAATGTTTCTCTCCTTTTTCGTGCCAGCTGTCTGGATCCCAATATTCTAAGAATGGAGGAATATGCACGACAACCACTCTGAAATCAGCACTTTGTGACTCTGCGGATGCAAGCTCGTTCTCCAGCCATTCATCTTGTTTCATATCGTCCATGTTACTATCTAGGACAATCCACCGACTGTTGGCCATTTTGAAGGAATACCAAAGTGCTTTCCCTGTGTACGTATATTTCAGATCAGGATCGTAGTCATGATTACCGTGAGCATAGATCAAGGGGGCCTGTTGGCCGAGATAAGAAGCAGTCAAAGGATCGTAAAAGTCCGTTTGCCACTGTTGAAGATTTTTGTATTCTTGTACTGCGTCTCCTGCATGTAGTATATAGTGAGGCTGCTTATGACGAGCTACAGCTGACTCTACAAGTTCATTGAAAACTCGCAGCCCAAATTGGTTATCCGCAAACGCAAGAATATTGATCGGATAGGATAGATTGTGCTTAGCCAGCTTTCGACCTTGGCGCGTCTTATTGCTCGGCGGTATGCTTGGGAAAAAGGGAAATGAATATTGTGCCACTAAAATTATGTTGTCATTGTTCTTTGAATAAGTTATTTCATATCTGTAAGTATCGACGTTTCTCAATGGTCCGATTGTTGCTTTGTACACGTAATGATTGTCATCTATAACGGTAGGGATAATCGAATCTGGCATTTCATGAATAACATGAACTGCATTCGACTCGCGATACCAACGCAGCTTCACATTCTCCATCATACAATTGGACTCCCATACCGCAACTACGTTGTAAGTGTCCAGCACATATATAATTGGCTCCTTTCTTAGAGAACACGACAGCAAGCCAGCGTCATATAGATAATTTTTGACTTTGTATTTACCAAGGACAGCATAAGCACGGACTGTTGACAGCCATATCCAGCAAAACAGGATAGCCGTAAACAATAGCAGATAAACGTGTCTCCGTTTTATTCCACGAACAAAATATGTTGCAATCAATGCAGACATACGTCGACTTATAAACAGTCCTTGATATAACCGTGATTGCTTTGTTGCATCGTTAGATGACTGCTGTAAATAAGGCGTATAGTAAGAGGAAGACGAAGATAAATTATGGACCAAGTGCTGAGGCTGAAATATAAAGGGAATGGAAAAAGACTCGAAATAAGATGTATGTGCGACGCTTTCCCCGTTGTGGTTGTTTGTGTCGTTCTGATCAATACGTCTTCCAGGTGACGAGCCAGCCATTATGGAGCTCGAATGTAATAAAAAAAAGACCCAAAGTGAACACAATGCTATAAACAACGTAGTTTTTTCGATCTGCAGCCTGTAACACTAATGCTAAATATGTACATGGACAAGCGAGTCTGCATCTAAAGCATATTAGGGTTATACACATCATGACTTAACTTCGAACTCATCCAATATAATTATGTCATACCCAGTTGCTCCAAGCTTGTGGATGCTTTTGGGACTGATAATAAGTTTCGGAGTATCTTTGGGATTGAGTTTCTGTACATCTAATTCGAGATAAGACTTAAACCTTTCGAAAAGAGTTTTTATCCATGAGCGAGAGAGCGTCGACCTGAAATAATAAGAGTTGAAACAGGATCCGTCAGAACGATGAAGCATTTCTATGTCTTATTTGATTTGCCAATACCACAATGTCTTTAACCAGTATCAAGTGCCGGCAAAATTTGAAATAAATCTCATATCTTGTCATCACCAAAACCTTGTCTGCGCAACTCTTTGGTGTAATGCTCTACAAGTTCTTGTACACGTTCTTGAAGATACGGCAAGGAATAGCTGTCAAATACATTTGCGCAAGGTTCTTGAACCTCGTAATTGCATCGGCCAAAGAAAGAGAGGACTGAGCTGTAGCGATGTGTGAGAATTTGAAGTTACGGACGCATGTTGTTAATGGGACTGTTCTTTACAGTGATCTTAGAAGAAATTACAAGAGTATCTAAGCCGGTCTCTTACGCAAATTGAGCCAATTGATGACGGTTCACGAGGAGTGGCATACTTGTTAATTCATCTGCCGGGTACTTAGTAAAAAGGTGGCGGCAAACTTATGATGCAAGAGGGAAACGGGAAGAGTGTAAGTGGGATAATGGAAGACTGCGACAAAGGAAATTATAGTTGAAATCAGCTATATCTACCATGATAATCCACTAAGCATGCCAAACGACCAAAATTGAGTTTTTCTTCAATCTTTCCTCTCGCTGCTATGTGTTATATAGCGGGCAGTCAAAAGCTGCTGATCTCGAATCTGAGGAAGTTTGATTTTCTATTGAGAGAGAACATGGCTTGTATTTTGTGAGAAACAGCGATTGATTCGTTTGTAGCACGCGTCTTGTAACAAGGATTTCATCTGTATTCCGAGCATAAGATCAATTGGTGTCATTGTCACCTTACTAAAAACTTCCAGTTATTCGTTAATTAACAATAATACCACGTATTTAAGATTTATGACTACAAAATAGTAGAACTGGACGACAAGGTGCATATCTTTTATCAGAATTTTACTAAAGTAATGTACTACTTGTTTAAAGACAGATTACAAAAAGCATCATTGGAGTATTGATCCATAAAAATGCCACTACTCAGAAACAAAAGCTATTGTTGCATGATATATTGTGACAATTGTATGTAATAAAGCAGTAATATACATATTTCTAGATTAAGACAGATTACAAAAGCATCATTGAAGTATTGATCCATAAAAATGCCACTCCTCAGAAACAAAAGCTATTGTTGCATGATATTGTGACAATTGTATGTAATAAAGCAGTAATATACATATTTCTAGATTACAAAAGTGTCATTGAATTGTAGAGTATTGATCCATATAAATGCCAATTTAATTGTATGTGGGGCATACCGCAACAAAACCAGACAAAGTGAACATTTGATTATGTGACATAAATGAGAGGCTGATTATGATGTGGCTGTAAAATTGACCAGGGTGACTGATGATGTTTTGAAAAGTAATAATGGTGCTCATAACTTATGGACTTGCTAATATTTTAATGCTCACTTTATTATACCAGAAGGTGAGGAATATAAACCATAACAGGAGTAATATAGGACTATCCCTGTATAAAAATAAAATATATGAAACTAATTTACATTAAATCCACGATGGAACCCAAGAATTATAGCACCATTAGAAGCATTCTAAAAAAAGCTCAAGGAGAAAAATTGCTCCCTACATTTTAAAATCAATAATACTCAAACACTCCAGGAATATCTAGACAAAGAAAAAATCACTTACGAAATTTACCAAGAAGAAAGAAAAATCATAACTAATAAACAAACCTTAACAACAACTTATGATGAACCAAGAAAGAAAAGAAGACAGGCAGAATAAACAATCAAATCATTATTAATCATCCTCTTCATCATCTTCTTCTTCTAGTTCAGCAGGAGAGTTTCATCATTGAGCCAGCAGTTTTCTTTTTCAGATCATTCAACTGAGACTACTGAGTAACAAGAGGATTCCTCCCAAAGCTCCTCACATGGAAGGATTATTCATTCTTCAGAAGCCTTCTTCCTGGGAAGGAGGAGTAGATTTAGTTCCTTGTTTAGCAAAACTATGGTTCACTCCACCTAATTCTTCTGCATAATATTTAATAATTCCTGCTTCTGTAAATTCTTGACCATCTCCATAGAGTTTTTTATCTAAGCCTTGATTTTGGTCATTTTTAACTTTTTCCATAGCTTGCTTAGTTTGTTCTTTGACTGAACTATCATTTTTAATTTGGTAAGTAGCTGAAAATCCAATTACATACTGGGGGCTTAAAGTAAAGAAATAATCCTGTTTTTGGTAATCATCTGCAGTGTCAGCAGGGAAAGCTGGTAATCCTTGCTTATCTTTAAGATATTCTTTCAGTTTATTGAAAAAAGTAGTTTTATCTTCTAAATTGAGCAGAATATTAGCAATTTTTTTTAGTTCTAATTCATCTTTTTTAAAGAGTTTTTTATCACCATAATTTTTTCATTCTTGTATCTTGAACTAAAGAAGTAGTAATATCAGCATCAATTTTGAAAACTGACTGAAGATTTTCACTTCTTAATTCTGGTTCAGTTAAGTAATTATTAATCGCCAATAATTCTGTTTCTTCTTCTGGATTAAGACCAATGGTTTGCTGAGTATTATTTAACTCACTTTTTAGTAAATTAAAATAAGTTATAATGCTTTTTGAGGTTAGATTTCTTCCTTCTTTTCTTTCTCAATTTTCTAATCTTTCACTAAAATCAGAACCTAAATTTTTTCAAGTGTTATAAGTGGGAAGCTTGGCATTTCGAATAGCCTCTAATTGTTCTACTTTAGTGAGGTATCCTTTTTCAGTAGGAGTAAGGGGAGTCTCTAGTTTGCCCTCCTTTTCTAAATCAGTTAAGAAATAAACTAAAGTTCTAATGGCAATTGTTTCTTGATAAGTAATAATTTCTTGATTAGATGGATCAGTTAATTTATCACCTAAATGTTTAAGTTGAGTTCGTAAATGATCAATTCTTCCACTTTCAAAAGCCTTAATTTGATTTTGGATTTGGATTAGTTTTTGTTTTTTGTCAGCTTTTTGAAGACTAATCTTAGTTAATTCACTTCTTTTTTTTCCTAATTCAGCATGAATACTTTCTAAACCTACTCTTTTATCAGCAGTAATAACTTTTCATTTATCTCACAAGTTAATCATTTCATCAGAAACTTCACCTTCTTCTTTGATTTTATCAGGAAGCAACCAAAACTTAATTTGGTCAGAATTAAATTCAGATTTTCTATCTTCTAACTGTTTTCAAGTTAGATTCTTGGCATCATTTCTGAACTTTGCATGGGTTTCTCTAATAGTTTTTAGTGCAATTTCTCTAGCAATCTCTTCTCACTCTTTTCTAAGAGCCTCCACTTCATTTCCTTTAAATAAAAGATTACCACTGCTATCTTTGGAATTTTTGAGGAAATCACCAACATATCCTTTATAATTTTCCTTATGCAACAAATTAACATGTCGTAATGAAATTCCTCGAGAAATTAATCCACCAAACATTTTCTTTTCATAAACAGTTATTGGTTCTTCACGAATATTTTCTTCATCAACTCCATTTCTACTTAATACTTTGTCATAAACATTTCATGTAATTGCATCATTACCAACATCATTGCTACCATAAACCTGTCAAAAAAATTCTGCTAATTGACCATTTGCTCAAGTTAAGTGCTTTTCTTCATAAGGAAAAGGAACATTTAATACATTGGCACTTCCACTCTCTAAAACATAATCTTTTGTAGAAATACTAGCATCTGCTCCTCGTCAATATACAGGATAAGGAGTATTAATACTCTTGTCTATATCATTAAATTGTAAACAACTCTTTTGACCTTTCTTTAAGAAAGGACTACTTTTATAGTCACTATTACTATCTTTGGGAAAGAGACAATGCATAATGTAAAAGATATCACTGATATAAATTTTTGATGTTTTTATTTCTCCTGCCTCCTTTTTTGATAATTCACGATAATTCATGCTAATACTACCCAACTTATTCTGTTTACCAGCATTATTATATATAGCTTTCCAACTTATAACTCGGTCAAAAATTCTTTTAAAATCCTCTTTTTCTTTTGCACTTCAAGAACAATCTGCTGAATTAATATAAGAATAAAGTTTATCTTTATCAATTTCTTTAAAAATAGTTCAAATTTGCCCTGGTAAATCATTACTTAAATAAAGAGGATGAGCATAAGGTCTACTACCAGTTTTGATAAGTGAACCATAATAATCTATTGTTTTTGGAGCATTAGGTGTATAAATTACTTTTGCACAGTCTTCATTACTCTTCTTAATAAGATCTAAAAATTTATGACTACCTGCATTTGGAGTTCTCAAATCATTTTTTAGTTTTTCAACAGTGATAGCAACCTTATTTTCTAAACCTGTTTGTTCTTGAAGAACTTGAGGATTATACTTTTTTTCTAACTCAGCAATTTCTTTTACGACTTTTTCTTCTTCTTCTGATATCTTAGCAAAAGTAAGTGTTGATTCTTTCAATTTTAAATCTAAACTTTTATTGTTTTTTCTAAACAAAACCTTCTGGTAATTTTTTACCATCTCACCCACTCAATCTTCTCCGTTTTTAATAGTGTTAATTAATTGATAAGAAATAGAATTATTTCTTCTTTGCTCCATTAAAGCAATTAACAATTGATTACCATTATTACTAAGAATATTATTACTTTGTTCAGTTTTCAAACTAGCCTCTGCTTCTTTACAATTGTTTAATAACTGAGCAGTATCTTGAAGGAGTGTTTTATCCAAAGTGCCATTTGGTTTTAAAAGATTACTATCAAAGATAACCTTTTCTTCTGGTTTAAGAGCTCCCCCATGATAATTTGGGTATTCTTTGGCTTTATCTATTGTATTTATATCATTTTTATTGAATGCCATGATTTTAATTCCTATATTATATATTTTAATATTAAAAGATTAAATATAAAGAATTTAATAGAAACAAACGAAAACTAATAAAGTAATAAAATTTGCATGGTTGACTGGAATATTTTTATTCAGTATCAGTATAGATTGGTTTGGGACAAGTTATGTCTTTGAATTCATCTCTAACAAATGGGCGAATATTATGATAAAGATATTCTTGCCTTTTATAATCCAAAGGAGGCGGAGTTAGAACTAAAATAGAAAAAGATTTAATTTCTTTGGTAATTTCAGAAACACTTGCTTTCCTAGTTTTTAACAAATTAAATTCAGCAAATGCACCATTAGCAACCAGTTGGGCTTTGACAATTCCAGGTCGGGCTGCTTCGAATACAAAATGCTGATATTTTTGTAAACCACTCAATTTTTTAAAGAAAATTCCTAACACCGAATTAAGATCTAAGTACTGAAAACCCTTTCCATTGTCATAACATTGAGCTTTGTTTAATCCGGCTGTACTCGATTTTTTCACAACCTCAACAATATGATTCACACAATCTACAGTCGTCTTTCGGTATAGTTTCTTAATTAATCCAAAACTACCATCACATTTGAATTTAGTATGACCAGGTATCATGAAATTTAATTCAATACTTTCATAATAACCGCAAATTACCAAATAGAGGTAAAATCAAATGGTGGCGTTATTTTTATTCTGTCCTCCCGCATTGTCACAAGTAATTTTTAAATATTTTTCACCTTTATTCAATCTCTTAATTCCATCGAATACCAGGCTCAGCGTGCCATTGGGGCCTTTGCCGATAATTTCGTCTTCATCGAGAACGTAATTAATTTGTTCGCGTACTGCCTCATCTTGAATACCAAATAAATGCACTTTACGTGGGCTGAGATAATAAATTCTACTCACCTGTTGATCAGAATGGGGCACGTGAACGTTTTGTGCCCAATCGTAACTATAATGAGCAGTAGCATCAACGCTACAATAATCAGCTTTACCTTCTGTTACAACGTAATTGTCATCTACCAATTTTCTCTGTTGTTCTGCTAATTTCGTATTTTTGTTGTAATATTTTCTCTCTAATTTAGCCTTGACTAAATGTTCTTTGTACTTTTTTAGTAAGTCTCTTGCTTCTTCTTCCTTACGAGCATTGTACTGTAAGCCATTTCGAAAATGTTGGCACGTGTCACATAAATCCGTTCTTGGACTCATGATTTGAATATAAGGCGTTAACTGGTGCCATAACTTGCGGAACGCATCATATTTTAACAGTTTCAATGTGCTATCGCTTTCAAGACCTGCAATAAAATCACGATAGACTGATTTGTAACTTGTTTCGGCTGGTAAAAGTGTAAGCGATTGAGTAATGCGATTGACATTTCTACCAGGACTTGGTAATCCATGAATTTCCGCATAGTTTTCAAGGAAATTCTTCACGGCGGTAGCAACAGTTATATCAATGGTTATTTTGGTTTTCCATCGCGGCACTCGTTTTATGTTACCATGAACACGCGCTATTATACCATTCGTTGCCAGATGGTTTCTGACGTTTTCGAAATGAGTGCGACCAATTCCTAACATATTTAGATACGTTTTCTGACAAAGCGGCGTATTTCGATCTCAGTAGTAAAACGTTCGCTTATTAGTACGCGTTTTCTTTTTAAGACGTTGACTGGCGGTTATTTCTCCGCCATTCATTGCTTTCAGTTGAGTCATTAAAAATATATCTTGTTCAGATCTAGAGAGAGCTTGAAACGCTTCACGTAATTCAGCAAACTTTTCTCTTGCAATATTTTTTGAGCAACCACAATTACAACTTGTCTCCAAGAAACGCATGACTTTTTCATATTCACTGGAACTGTTATAATTAAAATTTTTCATATACGGATAATCCTATATATAAGTTTTATCAATTATATGGTAAGAAGTTTATTTTTTTCAATAATTTTATGTAGCCTCCAGTACGATTTCCCTTAATTTGTGTAAAGCCACAAAATCTACTCCCCTTCTTTGGCTGCAGGAACAATGTCTTACAATGTTTGAATGCAAATGCAATTATTAAAGTTCTATTGAGTTGTATGATTTAGGAATTGTTATGGTATCCGCATGGATATTGTGGTTATCATGTCTTAATGACTTTTTTGTCTTGTGATGGTATAGGAAGATGGATAGATGTTTTTGTAAAGCATATATCACCTCACTAATTGTTTGTGTTCGAAAATTCTCGTTTTGCGAGAATTACTCTAGTCAACCTCACTGGGATGGTGGTTGACTTTCAGGCTGTTCGCTTCTGCCAAACATAATCTCAAGCATATCAAGATCATGATCCTTCGTAATGACTTGTCCATCATTTACCCCACTTGGTCATCTAATGTCATCGCAGTTGACGTTGATGGGATAGCGGACTTCACCAGCCGTTCCTGACCAATCAAAGTCGATTGGCATAAACTTGCCCTCACCGTTCTTTTGCACAAAGAGGTTCGTATCACGCAAATCACCATGGACGAAGTTCTGTTCATGAAAAGTGTTGACAACTTCCTCAACTCGGCGGTGGAGTACCTCAACGGATGGAAAGCTGATGTTGTCTTTAGTCCGATGTGAATATGGTAAATAGGCTCGATCCATCACGTCCATTACTACCATGTACCACTTGTGTGGAAGTTGTTCGAAGCCACGCAAACGCGGTGCCACACCCAATGAAGCGTGCTGCTGCTGAATAACTCCGGGTATATTTAATGCATATAACATCGCCAGCAGTCGTCTCGCCAAAAAAGATTAATTTCCCCGAGCTGTGTTGTTTAGTATATTTGAAGTTCACGGTAGCATTGTCTACCACATACTCATGCTTATACGGAAAGTCCGTATTCGGTAAACCGACAAAAGTTCCCTTCCATAATGGTTTATGTCGCCCGTGCTCGTAGTAACCGCGCAGTTCGTTTACAGTCCACATAAATGCGCCGAAAACTCGTGCCGCCCAAGTCTGCATGATTGTGTCATACGGATGCCAGATGACCGGGGATACGGGTAGCAAGACTTCTAAGTGGACGCCCTTATTACTAATTGCTGAACCTGCGAAACCGAAGAATGCACCTACGAAAAGCATTAATTTTCAGCAAGCACAATATCATTCTGTACAGACAGCATTTTGAAAAACCATTACTTTATTGACTCACCAAAGTAGAAAATATGTAAGCATGGCAGCGTAGAGGCTGGGGCATCCAACGACAGCTTGCGCATAAATTCATAATAATAAAGCCCTCCTTGGAGATACGGATCTGCACCACTGTTGCCGATCTCATTCTTGCACTCAGTAATAAGGTAAGGATAGTTGTTCGCAAGTGCATGACCATCTGTTATATAACCAGTGTCACAGATATGGGCAGCAAACAATTGGGTGCTGTAATGCCTATTCAAAGTGTCACGGAACGCGGCTGCGCGGACTATGCTGAAATTCATGGGTTACCAAGTCCTGGTAGAAACGTCAACCGAATTACTCAATCGCTTACACTTTTGCCAGCCGAAACGAGTTACAAATC